TCGGATTCGAACCGACGTCTTCTTGCATACCGTGCCAGACGCTATACACAGTTATTTAAGTCAACACGTGAAGCTGCATGACGCTCAGTTCGGCTTTCGTCCTGGGCTGTCTACGGAGACAGCTATACTGTGCCTTAAGCACACTGTCCGGTATTATACCGATAGGAAGACGCCTGTGTTTGCATGCTTTCTTGATATGTCGAAAGCTTTTGATATGATATCATATAATGTACTCTGGAATAAAATGTACAACTCGAGTATACCTAAAGAATTAACTGACTTGTTTCGATACTGGTATGATTGTCAAATAAATTCTGTTAGATGGGCAGGGACATCCTCAGACGATTATAAAATGGAATGTGGCTTAAGACAGGGTGGGCTGACCTCACCAACCTTATTTAATTTTTATGTAAATGGATTGATTGAGGAGCTCGGAAGCACTGGTGTTGGTTGCTCAATTGGAGGTTGTTTTGTAAATAACATAAGTTATGCGGACGACATGGTGCTTTTGAGCCCCTCAATCAGTGGGCTCAAAGTCCTATTAAATGTGTGTGAGAGATATGCAGTGGCCCATGGGCTCAGATATAATGATAAAAAGAGTGTGCTGTTGGTTTTCAAATCAGGTACCAAAACATATTCAACTCCACCAGTCACTCTTAACGGTATTGAAATCCAAAAAGTGAACAGTTTCAACTATCTGGGCCACTGGGTCACTGAAAATGGAACTGATGACGTTGATCTGGAGAGGGAACGCAGGGCTCTGTCGGTAAGGTGTAATATGCTGGCCCGCAGGTTTGTACAATGCTCACAAGAGGTAAAAGTCACCCTCTTCAAAACTTACTGCCAGACCTTATACACGTGCAACCTGTGGAGCAATTTTACTAAAAAAGCCTACAGTGCCTTGCGTATCCAGTTCAACAATGCCCTCAGGGGACTGCTGGGGCTGCCCCGATATTGTAGCGCGTCGGGGATGTTTGCCGCAACTAGAATTGATAGCTTTGAAGCTGTCATTCGAAAGCGAGCAGCATCCCTGATGGTCAGAGTGCGGAGCAGCACCAACAGTCTTCTGATGGTGATTGCGGAGAGGATGGACAGTCCAATATTAAAACATTGGATGTCCATTCACATCTAAGAGAATGAAAATTTTAAGTTTTGCTAACATAGTGTCTAAGTATTTACTAACAATATATGGACTTGTAATTATTGTAAGTCTGATAATAAATTATTTCATTCATTCATTCATTTAACCAAATAAAAAGTTAGATTTGAGACTTGCGAGATTTTAAAGTAGTTAAAGCGCCTTACTATGATAGGTACTTGAATTGGCGTTGAATGGGTTATAAACCATAGTGATACTGAAAATCTAATTCGTTTTATTAATTTAATTAGTCAAACAAATTAAAATTGCATTCCAAATTTTCTTACGCCATAACTAAACCAAATACCAAGCAAATGCTCATACTGTGTTTTGATTCTGGCTGCTACAATTACTTATGTACACAATATTAAAAGTTAGGAAGAGATACATAAGCTGTGATAAATTTTATGAGGTCAGTATATTTTATCGATTGGTACCCAACCAATACTATAACTTGTTTTACATTAATAGGAAAGTTGTTTAAGAGCGCTCAAGATAATTTGTGTTTTTCTCTCCTGTAAAATTTTGTCGAAAGCACTTACAAGATTTTGTTGTGGAACAGTCGAAATCGTCGATGGTGGGGCGGGCCGCGCCCTCCATGGGCGGCACACCAGTCGATATGAGTTTGAAGCAAAGCTTACTATCACCTACACGTGTAACAAGCTCGTTGGTCTCGGGGTATGATTCTCGCTTAGGGTGCGAGAGGACCCGGGTTCAAATCCCGGATGAGCCCTAATTCGTCATTGGCAGACTTTTGGTTTTCCAAAAGTATTTATTAGACAAAGAACATTTTTTTATGAAGAAATTAGAAGAAAAAACTAAAAAGAAATTTTGCGTCGCATAAATAATGTCAATAATTAATCCCTATGTTGCGTTTTATAAATACGGTTGTATGTAGGTACATAATATAAAAAAGAGTTAATCGTACGCTGTCATCCGTTGTTCTGGTGAATTAATTTTCATCTTGAGGATATTGTATTGACGATAAGTAAATGATTTCTAAAGGAATGATGAAAAGAATGTTCTACCAAAACTGGCAAATCGGGATTTTAATAGTTGTCAAGGTGATTAACGTTTTTATTTTCGTTTGGATTGTTTTAAAGCTACACCTGGTAGGTTAATGTACACCACTATGTTCGTAACATTTTCTTCCCATGCCATGCAGTATATTGGACGTGATATACGAGAGGCGTTCAATGAGATGTATTATCGGTATCGAGGCAGTTTAGTAATAACAAAGATAGTCAAGTTATCTCATTAGCTAAAGAAACTGGATTAGGATATAAATGCAATCTTTCATTCAATTATCATGATTGGCATTCTAGATGTCCTAGGTGAAAGACCGACAGAATGACTGACGCGATAATGTTCAGAAAAATAGAGCTTCCCACTGTGATAAAATACCTTACAAAACAAGGAAAAATTAAAAATTTCATCCTGGAAGAGATGGTGACTGTTTACCAGGGTTTTGCTCCTTCGTAATGCATTATTCAATAGTGGTCAAGTGAGTTTAAACGGGGTAGACAAATCATTCAATATGACCTTAGATCCGGCAGGCTGGTTAGTGCCTCTACTGAAGAAAACGTGGAAATTGTTGAGAATCTTGTACTTGAAGATGCCCGTATAAGAGTTAAAATATCAGCAGGATTTATTATGTTATCGTGGGTAACATTTATAACACTATCCTCCATGACCATTTAGACTTGTCAAAGGTCAGCGCAAGATGGGCGCCATGAATGTTCACCGCGCTTCACCGGATTGTTACCGACGTGGTGCATAGTTTGTGTGCGTTATTGTTGTTATTACGTTCCATCGAGTATATAACCAAAAACAGAGACGAAATAAGAGCCATAAATTCCTGGAAACGCATCTGTGATACATCAATTGTAAATGTCAACTCTCGTTTGCCCTGAAATAGTACAGCACCAGCGCCACCAACTGACCTGTGTGTATATTCCACCGTATATTCCAAAAAATATTCTGTATTTATTGTAATAAAGATAATATGTGTAACAATGGCGTGCTGTTCTATTCGGTGGTGTGGGAAAAACAGCAAAACATCTAATTACAAAACAAACGGAATCACTTTTATCAATCTCAGTCTCCTTCGCATGCTCAGGTTTCAATACTAGCGCTCGCGTCAAACAATAACTTTGCAGCCGTGCGTAACAAATAACTCTATTGTTACTAGTTTTTTAAGAATACCATCACTTGAAATTCCACAAGTGATTTTCATTCGGCCCCGTAGTATTGCGATTATGCTCTGGGAGGTACTGCTTACGATATCGAGTACTATGTGTATTTTTTATCATGATACATGCCTCAAGTGACTCGACCCTTATTTTCGATCGAAATGCAATACATTTTGAAATCTTTGAATGCTGTCTTACTTTTATAAATAAAATAATGTCTGTGTTTTGCTTCATGGAGACATTACGTATACTCATAGATATAAGCCGTTATAAGCATGTTATGTTTTACGTGTTCGGTCAAGAAATAGGGAATGATTGATTGACATTATTCGTGTGTCGCAAATTATCTTCTTGAAAGTGTGCACATTGCATACGCAAAACGCTACCGCTTATGCAAGTGAGGTCACACCAACATCATACGACCAATGACGTCTTACCGCTTCGCCACCTTATCGCTTCAAAACCGGGCACTGTGCGCCGAGCACCGAGCGCTCTGCTTGCTTCTCGCTTTGGACACTTATTTTTACGCTGTTCTTGTAATTTTTAATTTCTTTATGTAAAGTTCCTTTTCATTCTTTTCAATAACATTATTCATTAGCTTCGTATCTTTCTTCCTTCCTTTCGCTTTCTTGTCATAGATTCAAGTATACGTATTTCGGGTTCGAGTCCCGAATCGACAGATAGGAGTAACGAACACACTTCTACAAAAGGTAGGGAAGAATTCATGATTTTTTTTAGTTTGTCCTGACACTTCACTATGTTATTATGAAATAATAATAATCAAGCAAAATATAAAGTTAAATAAATACCTTAAGAAATAAGCAAAAACAAAAATGTACGATACTGAAGATAGGGCTCGTCCGGGATTCGAACCCGGGTCTCACGCACAGAAGACGAGCGTCATAACCTCTAGACCAACAAGCCTGATACGATGAATGGTGAAAGTAAGCTTTTATAGACATTAATTTTGTCGTCCGCTCCAATGGCCCATGAATTTGACTGGCGTAAAATCGATGCGTCGAAATTTTTTCTTCTTTTTAACCGAATTCAATAAAAGGAGAAGGTTCCCAATTCGACTGTACGTTATTTTGTACGTATGTTACGCGGCATTTGTGAATCGATTTAGATAATTCTTTTTTTGTTGGAATGAGCATACCACAGAAGTGATTCCATTTCAATTTGATGGATATATTCCAGTAATAATGGTGGCCGACTAGGGGATCAGTTTCGCGCACTTTCCGGTAACCGATTTGAATAAAACATAGCAAATAGATGTAATTCCACGACTTTTGAAGTTCGTTTTTTTATAGGCAAGTTATAATTATTGTTTTTGAACTGTTCAAGGAAGTAGTTATTTAAGTGGATACTAACGTATTAGTAAACTGTCTAAGAAATAATGCCGATATTTTTAGAGAACCGACATTATTTTTAGATAACCGACATTTATTTTCTTAAACTTAAATGTAAAATTTCTTGGTATAAATTTTAAGGCTTTCGTGATTATTCACTAAATGATTATCACTAGTATCAGGTTTCTTACCACGGTATGACTTCTTTTTATTTTCCCGATATTTCGGAACGGTTCATGGCATTTTATATTTACGCTTATACGCGTAAATAAATATAAAATGTAATGTTTAACGTATTCGGTCAAGAAATAGCGAATGATTAATTGACTTTTTTGAATTTTTCCTGACACTTTATTATGTTATTATAAAATAAAAATGCAATAATAATAATAAAGTGAAGTTAAAATATAAAGTTAAATACATACCTTAAGAAATAAGCAAAAACAAAAATGTACGATACTAAAAACAGGGCTCGTCCGGGATTCGAGACGAGCGTCAAGACTAACAAGCCTGTTACATCGAATAGTGAAAGGAAGCTTTGCTAGACATTGATTTTACCGTACGCTTTCAATTGTACTTTAGCAGTACATATGTACTGTTACTAAAAATAATCAACGTATAGAAAGTTTGTAGAAAAACAAACGCAAACCTCGGCAGACTGACGCAGATGTGTTGGTCATAAATCAGTGGTGGCACCACAAGATGATTTTCCTGCGATCCACAAGGCGGCGCAGCGAGGGAAGGCTGCAATACTAAGCCTCAAAATTATAACGTGTAAAGGATCGGAATAAAATATTGTAATTAAAACTAAATACATCGCTTCATTGAAGAGTGTCACTCTGTCCTGAAGATTGCAAGACATGTTTACACTTTAAATTGTACTGTATCAATATGTTGTTAAAGATAGATTAAATAAACCTTTTGCTTCTATTTATGTTTTCTACGCCATCTGGGCGGCGAGAGGTGAACCTCTGCAGTAAACAGTGGTGGTACCACAAGATAACTTTCCTACGATACGCGTGGCGGCAGAGCGATTGGCGACTCGTTCAAAAACTTGTACTTTAGCAGTATTTATGTACTGTTTGTACAATCAATATATACAATGTTTGTAAAGAAACAAACGCCCTTAATTTAAATATAGTTGTGAAGAGGTACGTAACTCATTTTTATTTGTAAGGAAATATTGTATTGAAACATAGAAATTACCTAACAAAGAACCTACAAAAAAAGAAACAAATTTTCGCTACATCGACTTTAAGAGGTTATGACACTCGCACACTGTGTGAGGGGTCCTGGGTTCGCACCTCTACTGTCGCCATTTTTTTGTATTCTAATAGGCATTCATTTGACTTTATCCGGTTATTGTTATTTAATTTTTATTTTATGAATGTAACCACATTCATTCATAAGTACTTTAAGTATGGTACGTGGATCCAACGTGTGGACGTTGAAGGACACCGAAATTTGATTGCGTGTAGATCTTTTTGTGTCTGTACTAATGTGCCACTATAAGAGTCATTCTGTTATGTATAAAAAAATTGTATTTATATTACATAAATCGATATGACAACAGTAGGCCTTTCTTACTTTGCAAAATTAAAAAATATTGAGATTTCTTCTTGGGATTTATAATTTAAAAGTATAAATTTTTGAATATCAACTTTGAGAATGTAAATGAAAAATAATTTTAGCCTCTAAAGTGCTTACGACAATTGTTTGCATTGTGCTCTTCGCAAATAAGATTTTTGCATTTGACGCACATTGGTCTTGTCCTCTTTTAATTTTTGATAGACAAAAGACACAATTATTCCTTTTCTTTGGCTCAAGTACATATTGATCGTGTCAAATTTTGATGACTTGCTTTTATAGGCCTTTGAATCTTTAGCTGAATTTGTAAGATTGGTCTATTTTCTTATCTCCTTCACGATTATGTTGCCGATTTTAAGAGTACCAAAGTATTCTAAAACATTAGGCAGCTGTCGTAATGTCTGATGAAAAGTGCAAATATTTTTCTAATGTTTTTTATAGGAGTGCATGCCTGGTCAAAGTTAATTTGTGTATTATATAACAAATAAATTATATATCACGTTAAGAGAGTACGATTGTCACAGAAATATGTACTGGGCAGACATTGATCAATAGACGCATAATTTCAATCAAATTTGTGTACATACTTACTTAGATAAATAGTGGGTTAGCTAAAATGCCCGTGAGGTGTCTAGCATTAGCTATAGCAAAAAGGGACTTATTTCTTTTAAAATGCTGTATTGTTTGTGGTCATTCTAAAAATATTTAGGCGGGAAAGTTTTAAGTTTACAATTCTTGAAAAACGCCCAGAACTGGTGAATCGTAAAGGTGTTATATTTCCTCATTATAAAGCCAAAACACATTTTCAGAATAACCACCTCGGCAGGCTGACGCAGATGTGTTGGCATGGCATAAAGTTCAAACATTTTATTGAAGAGTGGGGGGATTGCTTGTGGATGGCGCCTCCCATCTTGTATGATCTAAGCCTCAGCCAAACTCATAAATTAGCTTTGCTAGTAAGGGACAAGTTTTCAAATTAGACCAAGATCAAATAACACTTTCTTTATAATTATTAAATTTAGATAGTTTGAAGTATTATTTCATAAAAGTGGACTTTATTTTAAGTATTATATTTTGGTCTAAGCCATCTACTTCATCGTTTTGAAAATGAAAAAGTTACAGCGATTTTTAATTGTTTTTTGCTCAGGTTACAGGACGTACTTTTACTCTTACGACAATTTAGTGTAAGAGTGTTACTATTGACGTCTGTTACAAAATTTACTATTTACACAAATGTTACACATTGTTTTAATCAACCTTTATATTCTTTATGTTTTCAACGCCACCTGATGGCGTTGACAGATGAGACCTTACACAGGAATCAGTGGTGGCACCACAGGATGATTTTCCTGCGATCCGCGAGGCGGCGCAGCGAGGGAAGGTTGCAATACCCAAGAGTGACGTAGTCCGTAGCTTCAACTTAATACCACTACTATCTGTGACAGTCATTAATCACACCGATCTTTGATTCATCATAGAACACAATTGTCTTTCGGTCTTCAAAATTATAACATGTAAAGGATCTCAATAAAATATTGTAACTGCCTCCGTGGCTGAACGGAACCATGCAGGATTGACACGCAGAGGTCCCACGTTCGATTCCCGGGCCGGGAGAAAAATTTTTATAGCGTACATTTATTTATCTCGTGAGTTTGGGTGTAATTTGTGGTTGTCTATGTGTGTGTGTCCATGGCACCCGCGACACAAGGTTTCCATAATGCGGGGCTATGTTGAGTATGTGCGTTAATAAAAACTAAATTCATTGGTTCATTGAAGAGTCTCTGCCCTGAAGATTGCAAGACATGTTCACATTTTAAATTGTACATTATCAAAATGTATGTACTGTTCCTAAAAATTATCAACGTGTAGAATGTAATCAAACGCCTTAATTTAAATCTAGTTATAAAACGGAATGCAATTCATTTGAATTGTACGGAAATATTGCATTGAAATATGACTGAAATAAAAAAAATTAATTAACAAAGAACCTACAAATAAGAAACAAAATTTCACCACATCGATTTTACGCCAGCTAAATTTATGAGTAGCCGCCGGGTCGGACGGCAAAATCAATAGATAAGTGGTAATGACTAATGTAGCAGGCTTCTTGATTTAGAGGTTATGACACTCGCTCACTTTGCGAGACGTCACGGGTTCGAGTCTCGGACGAGCCATTGAACCCGCCACTTTTAAACCCACTATTATTTTATAAATGTAACAACATTAATTCATAAGTACTTCCAGTGGGCAGTATGTCTCGTCAGCGTACAACAAAAAAAATCATGGTTAAATGTTTTTGTAGTAACTACATCAGCCACGTTTAACTGCTCGGTGAAGCTTTGTACTTCTTAGCTACAAAAACAACAAAAAATTTACCGTTATTATTACGCAGCGTAGCTTTAAGCGAAGTATCACTAAATTAAATAACAAAGTAATCACTACAGCATTGGCCGCTCACAGCGAGAGATCAAATTATCGTAGCATCCGTAGCACAAGGCGTAGCGCCGCTACAAGTCATCGAATCCTAGTCGTTCGTAGCAGGTGTGAATGTTTGTGCGTTGTTACTGTTTGCCGCATATTATTTCGGTACGGGAATTTTACCAATAACTCTAAGGTACACCATTTTTTATTTATGTTGCCTGGAAGAAAATCGACCCAGCCAATATGTAATACTCAATGTGGCCACGTCTCCTGCAACATATGTAACCCTGTATGGTAAAAGGTGATAGAAACCCAAATATTATGTCAAATACACACATGACAACGCGCAGCATGTCCTTACGTAGGTCTTTGTTTAGCTTGAAGGGTGATGCACTCAAGAATACGGTCAAACAAGACGTTGAACCCAAACTCGTCTGTCGTTGGGAACCAAATCAGTTAGAGCGAGAACTCGCCCTTAGGCTACTGATCAAATTGAAACCTTACAGCTGTTGCTCCTAGAATCTCTTTTGGCACGAAATTCAATACGCAGACACTATTCCTGATCCAATTGCGAATGAATGAATGAATAAAATGTTATTTACTGCAGATAAACAATTACAATGATAAGACACAACAGTAATGTAAGTATCACAGAGTAAGCTACTGTACAATTGGCGGCGTTATTACTAAGTAGCAATTTTTTCGAGGCAATCTTTCCATCTGTTCGGAATACCATCCTCTTCGGAAGAGCCAGTCAAAATCAAGTCAAATAATTCTTATTTTAAACAGACTACTTTATATTGTGAAGACAACAGTCTTCTATCCCACACAATCTCGACAAAAATAAAAACAACCAAGGTTTTAAACCAACCAAAATTTTTTTTAAAAAGGAATCATGATAATCGGTGCACAAATACCGGAGTTATCGAGTAACATACATACAAAAAAACATAAAGTCGAATTCAGAACCTCATCCTTTTTTTGAAGTCGGTTAAAAAGTTGCCAATTATCCTTTTCCCACGCGTTAATAAAATATGTCAATTTACATTCGTTCGGCTTTATCTAAACGAACAAAATGTTTAAAAATTTTGAACCACCCACGTTAGTTGAATTTATTAGAATCGATGCACGCAGGGCGCTCGAGCAGAAAAATTATCTTTTTCAACATTTTATGATGTATACAGAAGGATTCTTGATTTTCTTTTATATTTTTTTCTGGGACGTGTTGCCGTTGCTAGCTTTGCTATTATAGACATTTATAAAATTAAAATACAAGAACTATAACCATTTATTTCGGAACCACGTCAATTTAAAGTACAGAGTTAAATAAATGCCCTTGAAAAACAAAAAAACGGTGATGATGCCATGGATGGCTCGTCCGGGATTTGAACCCGGGACCACTCGCACTGTGTGCGAGTATCATTACCACTAGACCAACGAGCCTGTTACACTAGTTGGTGAAAGTAAGCTTTGGTAGACATTGATTTTTCCATTCGCCCTGCCAATTATAAGGAGTTAACATTCCTTTTCATACTAGATTTAAATTAAGAGCGTTTCTTGTTTTTCAAACATTTCTTAAGTTTATTATTTTTAGTAATACTTACTGCTAAAGTACAATTTCAAGTGTAAAAAATGTTGAAAAAGAAAATTGTTTCTGACAGTACATTACGTTCAATTAATTATCACAATAAATTCTTTTTAACAAAATCTAATGAATATATATATATATATATATATATAAGTGTATACACTTTCATCCTCTAACATACACAAGGATTCATGATTTTCTTTCATAGTTTTTAGGTACTATATTATTATAGCAGTAGCAGTAGAGCACCTCGTGAAAGAGTTCTTCAAGGGAGGTACTGCCACCTTACCTATTTCTGCCGCCAAGCAGTAATGTCAGCATTACTGTGTTCCGATTTTGAAGGGTAAGGGTGCTGGTAAAATTACAGGCACATAGGACTTGTCTCAGATTGACGGGCGTAGTGGCATTGCCCCTCAGATCTTTGCGATTTAAAGCTTTGAGTGGCACTGCAACGTAGTGAACTGGCGTGTAGCTTACCATCAGTCACTAGATATATTAAAAAAATAATTATAAAATAAAACTACAGCAATAACAACTATTTATTTCAGAACCAAGTAAAGTTAAAGTATAAAGTTAAATAAATACCGAAGGAAATAAGTAAAAAGGAAAATGTTTGATGTGGAAGTAGAAGAAAGAAAATATTGATGGCAATGAATCCATTTAGCTCGTCCAGGATTTAAGCCCGGGTCTCTCGTGCAGTAGGCGAGCGTCATAGCCCTTAGACCAACAAACCTGTTACGCTTACTGGCGAAAGTAAGCTTTGCTGTGGTTCATTTCACATAATAATCATGGCCACGGTAACGTTTGAGATTTGAAGTTTCTAGGGATACTGAGGGAGACTGACGTAAAATCGAATGATAAAAAATCGATTTAAATAACTTGACGAGATAATTTGTAACGAAGAGAGAATCGATTTAGGGACAATGATATAAGAACAAATAATAAACAATAAGAATGATTCGATTATTATTATTTTAAGTTACTAAAAAAACTACACAACAAATTAAAAATTAACAATAACCAATCAAAAAGTAAATAACAAAGCATAAAATCAACAGCATCGGAAAGAAATTTGAATGATTACTCCAAAACCGTTATACAAAACTCAAAACAAAAGAAATCGACCCAGTTACACGGTGTATGCACTCGTATTGAAGCAAGATACACAATAGTGGTGTCAATATCTATGGAAAAATATTCCGTTTTAGGCATTAAGTACTCAGGGCAGTTTATTGATATCTTTATCATTTCTGTTTCTATCTACTTAATATACTGTAATTTTTACTTAAAATATTACAATTCCAATAAATATTGTTTGTTAGAATATTGGTTAGTTCAATTTACTATTCTCTTTGTGAGTTATTAGAAAGATTAAAAAAAATAGTATGCATACAAGCCATGATTTGACTGGTGCAAAATCGACATGGTGAAAATTTGTTTCTTGTTTTGTAGCGTCTTTGTTAGTTATATTCTATACTTCAATACAATATTTAGTTTAAAATCGAAGCTATTTATGAAATGATAATACCGATATTTTTAAAATCGACAGTAGAACACACTGTAATTTACAATACTTTAACAAGGTTATGGCAGAATAACAGAGGACGTGGTTTCGCCGCGACCGCTGAGTCATAAACCGATTGTGTTTGAGTTTATTATTATATTTAACGCTCTTAATTTAAATCTGGGATATAAAGGATGGACGAAGATAGGAAAATAACTCATTTCTTATTCATTAACTCTACGGAAACATTGTATTGAAATATAGTAAATAATTAACAAAGAAGAGGACTACATGTTTCATTGAAATCATTTTAAAATATAACACGGCACATCCATTTTATGCCCGGGCAAATTAACTGTTCGTAACTGTACGTATACTGTACGCGTCTGTAGTCTGCAGGCGTCTCTGGACGTCTGCTCCAGAGCAAAACCTAGTACAAGACAACTTTTTTTCAATAAATTTCACTCCCGTAGTATGTACCTATATACGGTGACAGTGGCTCCAAAATTCTATTATTTACCATAAATTTCGAAACCTAAAAACCTCAAATATCTTGTAAGTCACTTTAACCAAAATAAACCATTTTTTTACTCTTTATTCATTTAGGGACTTTGATCGTTACTGAACATGGCAGCCTTGTTAGGAAAACCATACCTCAAGAAAACACTTAATAAAATCCAGACAGATAAATACTACCTAACCAAAATACTACCTAACCAAACATGTATACAAAATCTTAGGAATTATTTGAGATTTGCTAGATTTTGAAGTAGCTAAATTGCTTGACTATGTAATGTACTTATTTGAATTCATGTTGAGTGGATTATAAACCATACTGTTACTGAAAATCTAATTCGTTTTATTAATTTGATTAGTCAAGAAAAATAAAATTTTATTCCAAATTTTCTTATGCAATAACTAAACCAAGTACCTAGTAAATGTGCATATTATGTTCTGATTCTGGCTGCTACAATAACTATACTTATGTAGACAAATATTAAAAGTTAGTAAGGGGTTTATACATAAGCTGTGATAATGTTCATGACATCAGCATATTTGTCGATTGGTATCACAAACTACATAAATACTAGCTTGGCACCCAACCTATTACTACAACTTGTTTTACATTAATAGGAAAATTATTCAAGAGCGATCATGATTTGTGGTTTTGGGCTCTCCTGTAAAATTTTGTCTAAAGCACTTACTAGGTTTTGTTGTGGAACAGTCGAAATCGTCGATGGTGGGGCGGCGCACAGTGGGCCCAGCGCCCAATTTGATAATTCTTGGACATAGGAATAACTTGTGGAGTATCGAGCAAATTTTTTTTATATGATGGATTACATTATTACATTCCTTACAACTTTTATTCTTGTATAATTTCTTGAAAAGATGATAGTTTCGGAGAAATTTTTTTTTTTTCGTTTGGAGACATACACAATTTAAATTCAAATCAATTCTTTATTGCATTTACCATAATGATATATATTATTTTTTTATCTCAAAATATACGAAAATATAATGTGCGAGGATTACTTACAATATAGTTCCAATCATTTTCTATGAAAAAAAAAATCCATCGGCATGTATTTGCGGCTTTGTAGGTAAAGGTGCGGCAAAATTGCTGACTCTTTTATGTACTTTTTTAACAAAATACATAAGTTTCGACTAAAGAAAAATCAATTTTAGTGTAATTTGAGTGTTATAAAAATAACACGAAAGTCAAGTAGAAACTAGTATATTGTGTTAAAAAATAAATAATAAATCTAAAATTTTGACACCTTTTTACTTGTAAAACCGCAAGTACCTGCAGATGGATTATTTTTTTCTTGATAGAGAATGATTGAACCTATATTATAAATAAACCACATTTTCTTATATTTAAATTACATTTTCCTACATTTGGAGATAAAAAATAAAATGTTTATTTCATAATATAATATTTATATAATTTTTTTTTTCTTTGCAACAATCAGCTTTTCAAGAAATTGCATAAAAATGAAAGTTATCAGGAATGTTATTATTTATCATATGAAAAAAATCAGCTCTGTATTCCTAAAATTTTTTTTATTTTTTTTATTTATTTTTTTATTTATTCATGTTCAGTTGCAGAGATAAAAAATAATATTTTTTTTTGATTGGAGAAATGTACATTTTATTTTTTATTTCTTAATGTAAGAAAACGTAATGTGTGTGGTTTATTTATAATATAGGTCCCATACTCCACAAGTTATTCCTATGTCCAAGAATTACCAATTTGGGCCCGCTGTGCGGCGCCCTGCATGGGCACACAAGTCGATATGAATTTAAAGCAAAGCTTACTTTCACCTATACGTGTAACAGGCTCGTTGGTCTAGGGGTATGATTCTCGCTTAGGGTGCGAGAGGTCCCGGGTTCAAATCCCGGACGAGCCCTAATTCGTCATTGCCAGACTTTTTGTTTTTCGAAAGTATTTATTAAACTAAGAACTTTTTTTATAAATAATAAGAATAAAAAATAAGAAGAAAAAAGTAAAAAGAAATTTTGGCACGCATAAATAATGTCAATAATTAATCCCTATATTGCGTTTTATAAATACGGTTGCATGTAGGTACATATAAAAAAGAGTTAATCGTACACTGTCATCCGTGGTTCTGATGAATTAATTTTTATCTTGAGGATATTGTATGATACAGGCACCTTTAAATATATTGTTGGCATTAGCGATAAGTAAATGATTTCTAAAGGAAAGATGAAAACAATGTTGTACCAAAACTGGCAAATCGGAATTTTAATAGTTGTCAAGGTGATTAACGTTTTTATTTTCGTTTGGATTTTTTTAAAGCTACACTTGGTAGGTCAGTGTACACCGCTATGTTAGTAACTTTTTCTTCCCATGTCATGCAGCATGTTGGACGTAAAATACGAGAGGCGTTTAATGACATGTATTCTCGGTATCGAGGCGGTTTAGTAATAATGAAGGTAGTTCAATTAATTATCTCATTAGCTGAAGACACTCTATTAGGATATAAATGCAATCTTACATTCAATTATCATGATTGGCATTCTACATGTCCTAGGTGAAAGACCGATAGAATGACTGACGCGACAATGTTCAGAAAAATCGAGCTTTGCGCTGTGATAAAATCCCTTACAAAACAAGTAAAAATTAAAAACTTCATCCTGGAAGAGATGGTGACTGCTTTAGAGAAGGGTTTGCTCCTTCATCGTGCATTATTCAATAGTGGTCAAGTGAGTGTAAACGGGGTAAACAATCGATTCAATATGATCCGGCATGCTGGTTAGTGCCTCTACTGAAGAAAACGTGAAAGTTGTTGAGAATCTTGTACTTGAAGAAGCCCGTATAAAAGTCAA